GTGAGTAGGTACAGAGGCATATAGTGTGGATGTATAAGCTGGGATGCTAGAGCCACAGTCAACATATCAGCTTTATTTTAAAAAAGGAATGCCTTACAAATCTATTATTTCTGAGTGTTCAAAAGTTAATTTATTATAAATAAACTGAACTCTTCATTTGAAAAATCATAATTACATATCATGCACCACAATAGTGTCCAGCCAATTATTAAATACAAAGATATTTTAAAAAGGCTAACCAAAAAGTCCAACAATCAAAATGTATAACTGCTTTTTTTAAACGTATCCGCGTGAACAGTAGAGCCTGTCAGGACTCCGTTTCCTTGTTTTTTACCATCACATTGCTCTGCTTGCGTATGAGGAGCTGGTTAGGCCCTTCATTAGTGGCTTTGATCATTTTCCAGGCATCACGGTGCACGAGTCCCTCCAGAGAACAGCCATTGATCGACAGGACTTCATCGCCAACCTCGATAAGCCCGGAAAGCTCCGCAGCTCCTCCTGTGTTAGACATGAACAGCAATTCAGACTCAGATAAAGCTCCTTATTTTACTCTGGTCTACTTATGATCTACACGCTGAAGATATATTCAAATTATAGCTATGATTTGAGAGATGGCCATTCACCTGGCTATAGCCAACCGTCCTTGTCAGTGTCTGTCAGATTTAAGCCTCTGATTTCTCCAGGATCCAACACATTCACTATAAAGGCTAACAGCTCATCTAATATATGCATATCTCACTGACTCTCATTATTTGAATTTAGTCAAAGATTTGTGTTTAAATAAATAATAAAGGTACTTTCACACAGGATACACTGCAATCGTTACTTTCAGTGTGGCCGTGCCAAGAAAACACGCATGCAGCTGTCATGGTCACTGAGGTCAAAGTTCAACAAATGTAAAGTTTGATTTTGTTGAACTTTCCAGCGTTCCATCTATTCATCCTCTTCTGTTTATCCTTATCAGGGTCGCAGGGGGGTGGAGCCTATCCCAGCTATCATAGGGCGAGAGGCAGAGTAAACCCTGGACAGGTGACCAGTCTGTCACAGAGAGACAACCATTCACACTAACATTTACACCTGTGGACAATCTAGAATCACCAGTTAACC